TAAAAGAATTGTTATTATACTCCTAGAGCAGGGAAGGAGCTCCCTTAGGGCCCAAGGAGACCCGACCCTTGTTAAAATTTATATATTCGATATTATTTTAGTTTAATAATATTTTAGTTCATTTAAAAATAAATATTTAAATTTTAAAAAATATAAATATTTATTAAATATTTAATCAAGTAAGGGTCGTACTATTAAGTCTGTGTTCTCAAATTTTTGATTTAATTACAATTTAAGTCATTGTAAGTTTAAATATTAAACAAATTAGAAGTTGTCTTTTGAGTTTTCTTTTAATTTAGGGTGAATACAATGTAATATATGTACAAAGACTTTCAACTATTTGACAATGAACGCTCATACTCCTACATATGTGCTTGAACTCGGGACTAGGGGTGTAAACGAGCCGAGTCGAGCTCGAGTATTGCTGAGCTCGACTTGACTCCAAAACTCTAAAATGGAGCTCGACTCGACTCGACTCGAAAACTCTGAAATGGACTCGACTCGAAAATTCGCGAGCTTAAAATTTTTAACTCGACTCGAACTCGAAATCCTAAACTAAAGCTCGTGAGCAGTCGAAAAGGCTCGAAATGAAGAAAAAAATCTTAATCTTAATTAGATTGAAGCCTCAAACTCGAACCTGAACATTAAATACATGAAAGTCTTATTGTATTTTTAAAAAAAATCAACACATAAATGTTAATATTATTAATAATTTATTAAAAAATAAAATCTTAATATATTATATTTTTGAACTGCTCAGAGCTTTTCGAGTCGAATATTAAGTAGCTCGTTTCGACTCGTTAAGCATTCGAGTTGAGCTCGAGCTCGAATCGAGTCCATTCGATCCGAGTATTTATCGAGCCTTGACCGAGTCAATCTCGAATAGCTCGCGATCTGTCTCGTCTCATTTACAGCCCTACTCGGGACCTCAAGGATAACAACAATCCCTTAATCACTAAGGTCACTTGGATCATGCTGAATTTCTATACGTCTTTATATTTTTCTTAAATAGTCTAATATTTTGGTCCATGCCAATAGTTAATTCTGGCTCCGTCCCTTTTCTAGAGGGTTATGAGCTGAGCATGATTCTATAAGAATGTTTGAGCTTTTTCTTATGCAAAATAAATATTAAACTCAAAAATATAAATTATGAAATTATTTAATCGGAATATTTTAATTTTACATCACAAACAATATTATTTGTGTTTCAAAGATTGTCCAAATTCATAATTCTAACTCTGTTCCAAATTTTCTGCAAGGCCAAATCCCTTCCTCATATGCAATCTGAGTTCCTTTAAGGTTCTCTTTTTATACAAGAATAGTTTGGATGGAGAAATCCCAAAATGCATTGGAAATGTGAGTTCTCTTTCACATATTGACCTAGAGAAGAATAATTGTCATGGTAAAATACCAGAAAATTTTGTTAAAGGTTGCTCGTTACACAGTTTTCGAATTAGCAGCAACCGAGTACAAGGGTCACTGCCACGATCTTTGGGCAATTGCAAAGAGTTGAAGCTTCTAGATGTTGGAAACAACTATTTGAATGACACATTCCCGAATTGGTTGGGAAATTTGGGTCAACTACAAGTTCTTATCCTAAGATCGAGCAGATTCTATGGTGAAGTGGTTAGCTTAGGACTTACAGTTTCATTCACTCGTTTACGTCTCGTTGATATTTCTCATAACAACTTCAATGGCTATTTACCCGTGAATTTTTTTTGAAAATTTGCATGCCATTAGAGAAGGGAATGAAAAGAAAGAAAAACTAGAGTACATGACAGATGGATCGGCAGTTGGAGTGTGGAATTATGCCATCGGTTTATCTTTTATGTTTAAAGGGTCGGAATTTGTGTTTTATGAACTGCTAACCATATGGACAACTATTGATTTTTCCAACAATCAGTTCTACAGGGAAATTCCTAAAACACTAGGAGAGCTTCACTCACTTATTGTCCTGAACCTCTCTCATAATTGTTTAACAGTTCCAATTCCATCATTGATAACCGTCGTTTTGTTATCAAAATAATTATGGCTTCTTAATTAAATAGAAAGGAAAAGATAGTAATAGAGAAGCAGAGTCGATCCACAGGGACTATGGTTTTTGTGATTTAGTAAAATGTTTCTTGATTTTAGGAAAAGATAGAATTCCAAGTAAAGTTGAAAAGATTTAATGAATTAAAATAGATAATAATAAATAAAATAATAATAAAAGGAAAAATAATAAAATAATAAATAATAGTAGTAAAGATGAAAAGGAGATTTTTAAAAGTTGTTTTAAAATAAAAGATAACAATTAAATAAAAGAAAATAAATAAATAAATAAATTAAAGAGATTGAGATAAAGAGAAACTTATAGTGAAAGCGTCCTCAGACTTCAGCTTTGACTCAAATTCCTCGGATCATCGAAACATATTTTTACTTCAAGATTCACGACGGCTTACAAGGACAATTCTTTGCTGCCAACTTGGATTATGTCGTTTCAATAATAACTGATTCCGATCTCAGTTTCCTCTTAGCAAACAATTTTGCTAAGTGTGTTCTCGGGAAGTTGAATATGCTTCAATAAGAAAATCCTTCTTCAAACGTTAACCATAACAATATCCTAACCAATTCGAAATCATTTTGATTTGAAAAGTAAGCTCAGAAAACAGAGAGAAAATCTGAAGCGATTTAAGTAGCTTACAATTCTCACGTTTGGAATTGAGCATTCGTTTTAGTCTTCGGCTTGAAAGAAAATTAGCTAAGCATGACCAAAGTCATACTTAGCATAATTAAAAAGTATACGAAAAATAGAGATAAAACTAGAGAGAAAAAGAAGATTTTATTCTCAGATAAGAGATATATGTTTCTATCTTACCCTTAGAGGGTATTTATATCCTTTAAATTCCTAAAAACAAGCTAAAACATCTTAAATCTTAATTAAAACATTTAAAACTATTTAAACTAAAATACCTAAAAATAATATTTAAAATAATATTCTAAATCCTAATTAAAATACTAAAACCTATTTAAACTAAAATACAAATATAAAATATAAAAATAATATCCTAAAGATTAATTAAAATACTAAAACCTATTTAAATTAAAATACAAAGATAAAATATAATGTTTAAAATATTATCCTAAACTTGAGTTTAATTCAAATTCGAATTCCAGCCAGCTTTGATTCCGAAAATAAAAAAAAATTGCATAATTTTGTCATTTTTGTGCAATTTCAGAATCTGACGTCATGCACAGAAAATAATCAAAACGAACAATTAAGCCACAAAAACCAATAATTAAAGAATAATTTAAAAATAAAATATTAACTAAATTAATCACTTATCAATCATCATTAGGTGATATATCGGAGCTTTAATCATTAGATCTCTCATCAAATAAACTTGATGGAAGAATTCTGATAGAGTTGACCAATCTTAGGTTCCTAGCAGTGTTAAACTTTTCTACGAATAATCTCACAGGACCCATTCCTCAAAGCAAACAGTTTGATACTTTCACTAATAATTCCTATATAGGAAACTCGGGTTTATACGGGCTGCCTTTATCAAAATGCTGTAACAATGATGAGGGAACACCAGCCAAATTTGATAGAGATGATGATGGACTGAATTGGAAATTTTCAATATTGATGGGGTATGGATGTGGGTTGGTACTGGGATTGAGTACGGGATATATTGTATTCGCAACTGGAAGACCATTGTGGTTCATAGGATCTACGAAAGAGTTCGACAAAGACTTGCAAAAAAGGTAAAAAAGTGATGTCGTTGACGGATTTTTGTTGCAAAACAAGCGGTCGGCAGAGCAGAAAACTTCAATGCATGGTGGTAGGCAGACCCTTTTGTATAGATTTTTTTTTGTCTATGCTGCGTGGGTGCTTTTTTTTTTGTATTTATTATGTTTTCCTGCACCTCCCCAATGGCAGCGTTCCCTTTAGTATTTCTAGCTTGTAATGACTATCTTAAAATGGCACTTTACAGGCAAACAATTTATATGAACAACTGTTTTAAACATTGATGTATGACTTGAACCATTGAGCGGTTGTCTTTGCAGGGCATGTTCACATTGTTAACAAGTTTAGAAAATTTTAAAATATACTACCTTATAATTATCCTAGTAATTAATAGTCCAGTTATCTTGCATGTGTATTGAGCCATCAAGTTTTTTTAATGTCAAGTTTGGTTATTTATTGCGCCGGTCCTATTCCTTCCTCAATCTTCAACATTTCTTCATTGCAACGAATTTGCACTTAACAAAGTTTTATAATATGCAGAAACCAACTAGAAGGGTCGCTACCACGATCTTTGGGTAATTGTAAAGATTTGAAGCTTTTCGATGTTGGAAACGACTATTTGAATGACACTTTGATGCCCGACCGAATAGTGATTATCTTGCGGGCTAGTTCAACAGATGATTCACAAGAGAAAATTCACAAAAAAAAAACCAGAGAAAAAGTCTCTAGGGTTTAATAAAATATCATAAAATCAAACAATGCCCAAAATCAGTCCACAAGTCGTACTGTTATAGCCAAAAATCGTCTTTATTCGAAATTTGCCAAAATAGCAAAATCCCGAAAATCACTCTAAATTGAAATTCGAAATAAAATAAGCAATCTCCAAAAAATCTGGCCTAAATCGGATTTAAATTGACTTCCTAACAGACAAGCGAAATATTACCATAAATAGAAAAAATAAATAAAACTAACGATTAGGAGAGGAAAACGACATAATTTGAGGTCGAAAAAAAGGGCCACATGAGCATAGCTCATGTGGACAGTGTGCGCGTTGAAAAAGCTTTCCGAATTGGGGTCTTATGCGCGATTCCGACACCCGTAGCCAAAGTTATGGCCAAAAGACTGAAACGCACTCAAAACGGCCCCAATTGAGGAACATATCACAATCAATTCCCGCCTTTGCGCTGATCTGCCAACTCATGGTATCTCAGCGCCATCAAGGTGCAATCTGAAAGCTCAACATCATCTGTCTCGGATCCCCTCCATCACACTTTCCCAAATTGGTTAGGAAATTTGGATCAACTACAAGTTCTTATCTTGAGATCTAACATATTTTATGGCCAAGTGGATACTAGGAGTTACTTTTTCCTTCACTCGTTTGCGTGTCATTGATCTTTCTCGAAATAACTTCACTGGCTATTTACCTATGAAGTTTTTTGAAAATTTACATGCCATTAGGAAAGGGAATGAAAACAAAGTAAAACCAGAGTACATAAAAGATGTAGAAGCTGATGGATTGGTGTACACTGTGCTCGGTTTATCTTTTAAAACCAAAGGATTAGAAACGGAGTTTGAGAAACTATTAACCATATGGGGAGTTTGAGAAACTGTTAACCATATGGACAGTTATTGACTTCTCCAACAACCAATTCTCTGGAGAAATTCCTAAGACACTTGGAGAGCTTCATTCACTTATTATCTTAAACCTCTCTAGAAACTGTTTAACAGGTACTATCCCATCATCATTTGGTGATCTGTCGGAAATTGAATCATTAGATCTCTCATCAAACAAGTTCATGAAAGAATTCCAACAGAGTTGAAAAATCTTACCTTCTTAGCAGTGTTAAACCTTTCTCGAAATAATCTCGAGGGACCCATTCCTCAAGGCAAACAATTTGATACTTTCATTAATGATTCCTGCATAGCAAACTCGGGTTGATGCGGGCTGCCATTATCAGAAGTCCATGATAATGGTGAGGGAACTCCAGCCAAATTTGATAGTGATGATATGATGATGGACTGAATTGGAAATTTTCCATATTGATGGCGTATGGATGTGGGTTGATGCTGGGACTCAGTGCGGGATACATTGTATTCGCAACTGGAAGACCATGTTGGTTCATTAGGATCTACAAGAGAGTTCGACAAAGATTTGTAAAGAAGTTAAAAAAGAGAAGTCTTTGACGGATTTTTGCTGCAAAACAAGCAGTGGACAGAGCAGAAAACTTCAATGCATGGCGGAAGCAATCCCTTTTCTATAGTTGCTTTATATCTATGTTTCGTGGGAGCATTTTTGTATGCATTATGTTTTCCTGCATCTTCTCCAATGGAAGCGTTCCCTTGAGTAATTCTAGCTTTTAAAGACTATCTTAATCGGCATTTTCTCGGTGTTTCACTATCGTTTTAATAAAATTGAAAATGGGTTAATTTCTTCCAAAGACAAGAGTTTGGGAAGATTAAGGTAGGCAATAAGAATTGAAACAGAGGGATGCCTGTGTAGCTCCCATGAATGGATTGAAACTAATAAAATATTGGTCTTCTGCTGAACATATCTAATAATGAAACAGAAGCAATTAGATTAAAGATTCTTATTCCTTACTTGAAATGCGGAAGATTATAACCTCGGAGACCTATTGTGCTATTAATCCCATTTTAATTTGAAACCCGGGATTGAATTAGAAGTGTTACAAATTCCGGGTAAAAGCTGTGAGAAACTGAGACTTAGCATCTTTTCTTTGAAACCTTGGGAAGTTTGAGGTTGAGCCCTAATGTTCTTGTGAACCCTACAACTAAACCCTAAGCATAAGCTATTTTCCAGCATATCCTAATTTATAAAAACCATAACTCTAGATATCCTAAAACCCAAATTCTCACTTAAAGACCTTAAACTTATTCTATGAAACATGCTTTTCAGAACCGGACCGATTAGCGAACCGACCATGCTACCGGTTCACTGGTTCAACCGGTCGAACCGGTCCGACCGGTCGGAAGAACCGGACGACGTCATAATTATTTAAAAAATTAAATAAAAATACAAAAAATATTTAATAAAAAATAAATTTTTATATCACAATTCATATTCAAAGCAAGTCATAACATATATAAGTTAAAAACCATAAAATCGAGTAAAACAAAATGATTCAAATCAACTACAACATAATATTTAAGGTAAAACATATTAAATAATAAACATAATTATATAACTATAATTAAAAAATAAATTTGGGGCTAAAAAAAGCATAACAAAATGATATTGTTTGGTTTAATTTTTTTTTTAAAAACAATCTCACATGGCTAAGAAACATAGAATATCATTCCAACTAACTTCTATAAATAATAGAGGTAATTTGGCATTCAAAATCATGGAGCCTTTTGGTGAGCATTGAGTGAACTATTCTTTTACTTCAATCAAGCTCGAATTTTAGGCTTCAATCGAGCTTCTAAATTTTTTTTTGAGTTCAAGCCTTTTCGAGTTCAAGTTTCAATATTATATTTCAAGTTCGAGTTAAACTTCATAATTTTTAGCTCGTGAGTTTGAGTCGGGTTGAGTTTACTTTTAAATTTTTCAAGTTCGAGTCGAGCTCATCAATACTCGAGTTCGACTTGGCTCGTTTAACAAACGACGACGTTTGGTTTAATTTTTTTTAAAAACAAAAACAAAAAATGCGATTTTTTCCGGTTTTTCCCGGTTTTTTCTGGTTTTCAGCTGGTCCCCGGTTTAAACGGTTCAGCGGTTCTGGCCGGTTCACTAATAGCGATTCAACTGGTCTAGATTGAACCGGACTAGGCAACGATTCCCGGTTGAACCGGCCGGTCCGGTCCGGTTTTCAAAACAGAGCTACGAAAGCATATATCATTTTCATTTAATTTTATTTAATCTTCTAATTAAATATACTATAATATATTTTTATTTAATATTATTTTATAATTTTTACGTAATACTATAATGATTTTTTACTTAAACTTAATTCTACAATTTTATAATGACTTTCTTGCTACTTCAAGATCATTTTCTATCTTACCGCCTCATTTGCTTAAGCTTTTAAGCATCTCTATTGCTTTGCCGCCATACATAGCCAATTATATAAAAGCATGCCCTAGATTAGAACGAGTTGGCGGTTAAAGGGATGAAGAGGGATGACCGAGTGGTTTAAGACGAATCATGAGTTGATTGAAGAGGTGTTGCATACCATTGCTGATGCTCATCTTCACTACCGTATTGCATTCAACCTTATGATTCATGGGAGTGATTCCAGCCCTATCAAGAAGAAGAAGAAGAAGAACAAGAAAGGTAAGAAATAGATGAACCCATCTTTCATGCATTGATGAAATCAACAGTAGTGTTATCTTTTGCTTCAACAGATTAGAAATGATAAATAGTGTTGGTTTCTGTGTTGCAAATCCTAGTAAAATGTTTGGTTAGTTAGAAAACCCTAAGAAAAGATGAATGGTTATGCTGTCGTTTTCTTTGTCATCTGTATATGAAATTAAAACAAAAGATTAGCAAAATTGCAGTCATATTTGAAATTCTTATATATCAGCTCACAAGTAAACAAACTATCCTAGAATTTGTGGTGGGAATCATCATTAAAATGAAGTAAAAGATAACACCAGTAGTGTTCATTCCATCAATGCATAAAAGACGGGTTAAATATTTCTTACCTTCTTACCTTTCTTGTTCCTTTTCTTCTTATTCTTTGTTGGAGCGGGAATCACTCCCTTGAATCATAAGCTTGAATGCAATACGGTAATAAAGATAAGCATCAGCAGTGGTATGCAAGACCTCATCAGTTAGACTCATGACTCGTCTTAAACCACTCAGATATTTGTCTGCACTTTGTGGTGAGAGACAGAAGAAAAATAAAGGTTAGTTTTGTACTCTACAAATAAATGATAGATACGTATCGCATTCCTTTAAGTAACCTGTTTATTTTTCTCTTGAATTGTGAATGGAAAGCTCTGCCATGATATGTTATTCTATTGTCTCAGATGATGTTACTTTACAGTCCTATTTTCCACCATACTTTGTGATATTACTTTGGAGTATGGTCTGCATTTTTCTTCGAGTACGGGATCTGAGCTTCTTAGGACCTCCAAATACTTGTAAAAACTTGAAGATATTCGTAAGAAGCTCAGATACCGTACTTAAGAAAAATAAGGATCGTTTGCATAAATGATCTGTTTTCGGGCTCATAAAGAAGTTTACGGTTCATTACGATAGAAGCGACATTATGGACAATGTGGTTATCAAGAAATAAAACAAATTTTTTATGGAAAAATTATCTCAAGAAGATATGTTTCAGCTCGTTAAGTTACGATCAATGTTTTGGATAAAAGTAGCCTTTGAAGATGAGGTAGAGTAGGAGAAACATTGGTGACTTGATCCGAAGCAAGTGACCGGCAGCGAAAAATTCAGCGAAGTTCACCACCAAAGGAAGGGTGGCTCAAGTTCAATGTTGACGGGGCTTTTAAAGAAGGTGATGGCTGTAATTTTTCTGGATGCGAGTTCTTTCAAGTCTATTGGCTATTTTGAGTTGAAGGGAAATCATGTGCGACAGTCTTAATATACGGTTAAAAAAGGCGTTACCGATTTTGTTATTATTTAAATAATAAAATCGGTAAAAAATTACCGGAAACATTATTATTTCTACCGGTTTTGTTATTATTGGGCGCTTTACCAAGCTTGGTAATATATCCGGCACTGCCGGTTTTGTTATCTTTTCTACTGGTTTTGTTATTGTTGGACACTTGACCGGAAATGTTAAAAAACATTGATGTTTTAGGTAGAAATAATAATGTTTTAGGTAATTTTTTACCGGTTTTGTTATTTAAATAATAACAAAACCGATAACGTCTTTTTTTAGCTTTATATTAAGGGTATCGCACTGTAGAACTTCCCTGAGGGGAATAAGCTGTTATGAATAAAAATTTACCCTGAGGTGTTAAAAATAGATACTCGTGTCAGACTAGGGATTTAAACTGCGGTTGTGGCCGTGTTTTCGGCCGCGTTACGTTTATCACGATTGCGGATATTGCTGTCATGAATTTTTTTTAAAATTAGTTGAGTTAAAAAACCTTATTTAAAAAATGAAATAGTGGGAAAATAACGAAATAACGATCTGTAATTGTCGCGATTGGCTGCTATCTGCTAGACTACGACCACGATCTATCGTTATTGGTGTGATTCCGTTTTTACACTGTTATTTTCAACGATAGGGGTATTGGACTCCATCGCGACCGTGATATAACATTCGTGACACCTCTATTTGACTGTTATTTGAATCCATGCTATAAACTAAGAAAAGAAAGAAATATTAATGATTAACTTATTGTTCAAGTATTCTATGCTTATGCCTAATGCGGAAAATAACGAAATAGTGATCCGCTATTGTCGCGGTTGGCCGCTATCCGTTAGATTGCGATTGTGATCTACTGTTATTGGTGTGGTTCCGCTTTCATACTGTTATTTTCCGCGATAGCGGTATCGGCCGCAACCGCAATTGTGATATAACGGCCGCAACACCGCTATCCGACCTTATTTGAATCCCTGCTATAAACTAAGGAAAGAAAGAAATATTAATGATTAACTTATTGTTCAAGTATTCTATGCTTATGCCTGATTGTTAGATATCAAAATAAATGTACTTCATTAGATTAATCGTTCCACTTGTGATCTGGTAATGCCTTTTTAAAGTTCTCTTAGGGTGCGTTTGGTTCACGGAATGTAAGATTATCAGTGGGAATGTAAGATTACCAGTGAGAATGTAAGATTACCAGTGGAATGTAAAATTACTGGGAATGTTGTATTTTGTGTTTGGTTGGCTTAGCAGGAATGTAAGATTACAATGTTTGGTTAAAAGAATAAAAAATTATTGGAATATATTTGACCAAATTGTCATTATTATATATTTGTTTTTTAACAAGTTGGAAAATATTTATATATTTTCTTTAAAAAATTTAAATTTATAAAATTTATATAATTTTTTTAAAAAAATTAAAAATATAAAAATGTTTAATGAAAGGGTAAAATTTTATTTTAACCCCTGAACTTCATATAAAATTTTAATTATAGATTTTTTTAAATCTAAAATAGTTTAAGAATTTTTATTATTTAATGACAGAAGAATGATATTTTTGAAAGAAAAAAAAATTAAGGACATTTTAGTCTAAAAACGCCGGTAATCCAACAATACCTAAGAAAAGAGAGGTAATGACATTCCCGGTAATATACCCAAAAAATCCACTATTAATAATCTTACATTACCGGGAATGAGATTCCCGGGCTAATCAAACGGGGGAATGTGGATTCCATTCCCATGGGAATCCCACATTGCCCCATCTAAACACCCCCTTAGATGGATGACATGTTCTTAAGCATATAAAATAAAGTCATAGGAGCTTATGTTTTTATTTTGCAGTTGTTATGCCAATGCGGTTCAGCAGTGTTTGACCTGCACGAAGCCTCTCAGCATCTATTTGCTGTATCGATCGCATTCAAGAGCCTGTACTTGTTTGTTTTGTACATGACAATAATGTATCTGTTCGAACACATACATACATTTACTCGAGTTCTTGAGGTCTACAAGATCTACTTGCTAATATCCATCCAAGCCCTTCTTTTCCCCTCATTTATGAGTCTAGATTTTTCAGTCACCTATAATGCATAGTGAACTAAATTAGCCTCACTGAATCTTTGTAAAGGTTTATTTTCTTCCCTGAATCTGCCTTTAGTAGGCTTCGATTTTGCTGAAGTGGATGCAATTAAAACAACGATGGTAGTGTTCTAAGAGGCTTCTTGAGTGGGAAAGGCTGAGTTAGTGATAGAATCGGATTCCAAAGTGGCTGTGAATTGGATTGTTAACCCTCTCCAACGTGAAGGCAAACTTTTTTCGAAGCGTGATGGTGATAGCGGCCTCTTCTTCTGTTCTTGTAGTGCAGTGGCTATTGTTTGAATACGTGCAACAGTGGTTCGGCAGTGTGGAGCTTGATTAGTGTGGTTGTAGGTGGCCTGGAACTTGATTCAATTCTCATAACGTTCTGAAACCCAAGTAAATTTCCCATGGCCTTGTCCATTTCTAAGTTCCTCACTCGCTAGTACCTCAAAGCCCTTATCCTTAATGTCCTTAAGAACAGCTATTTCCGGACCAACAAAATTATTTTTGTCTGTATCTCAACTGAGCCAGCAGCCAAACTAGAAATCTCCCCAGTTTCTCCTTCTAGACCTGCACGTGATTAATATCATCATTATACGCAGAGAGAAACTGTACCTCACCTACATAGAACCATCGCCTCTAATTTTCAAGGCACTATTCCCATCATTCTTGCGTGCTTCCCGATCGATATCACAGAGCTCCTCATTAAATGCATTATCCTTTTGAGAAGTAACACCCTCATCACCTTCTTTCAAGGCACTATTCCTTCTCCGTTTGTAATTGGATTGGTGTCACTTGTGGTTCTAGACACCATAGAGTCATTGCTCTGAATTTGTCAAGTATGAATCTCACAAGCACCGTCCCATCTCAATTGGAAAATTTATCTTTCCTCGGCTCGCTCGACATTCGTCACAATAATTTTCATGGTGCTTTACCCATTAAGTAATTTTGCATCGATTGGGGTATTTGAATTTTGGTAACAACAGCTTTGATGGAGAAGTCCCTTCATGGCTTGGGTACTTTGCTCAACTTCAAGTCTTGTATTTGTACGACAACAACTTCACTGGTGTTATCCCATCTACTCTGGGTAACTTGTCAAAGCTAGAAACGTTGTGCTTTCAGTACAACAATCTCAAAGGTAAGATTCCTATAACAATTGAAAATCTTTCAAACTTGATATGCTTATATTTGAAAGACAATTAGCTTTCAGATTTCATATATTTCTCCATCTTGACTATATTTTTCATTAGTAAAAAAAGTCGACTTTACAACCAACAATCTCATTGCATTGATCTAATTTGAGGTGAAGTATAATTAATTATATAAAATAAGAGACAAAATTAAAACAAATTATAATTAAAAGATCTAATTTGATATTTATCCATATATTTTTAATAACATAAATGTGAGGGGCAATGCCCGGGGACTAAGCATAACTTCGTCCTTGTCTTCTACATTAATTATATTTTATCACAGTTTAAGGCTCTTCTTTTCATTATGACAAAAAACTAAAGTTTGGTTATTTATTGTGTAGGTCCTATTTCTCCCTCAATCTTTAACATTTCCTCTCTGCAATATATTTCACCAAGGCACAACAGTCTCTTTGGTTATCTCTCTTCCAATATGTTCGATTATCTTCCACAATTATCTTATCTTGATTTGAGAGAATGCCAACTTTCTGGAAGAATTCCAATGAGTTCATTCAAATGCAAGAAGTTAGAATATATATATATTTGGGTATAAATCATTTACAAGGGACTATATCTTTAGAAATCGCAAATTTGACTTCACTCAAGCATTTTGGCATCGCACTGAACTTCTTCTCAGGTAAGTGAACATTACTTTTCATGCTTCAATAATGTATTATTTCTTCTGTCCCAATAAAATTTTCTTGTATTAACTTTTTAAAAATCAAATTTTGTTTAAACTTTGACTATAATTATGGTGAAGTGGATAGCTTAGGATTTACAGTTTCCTTCACACATTTGCGTCTAACTGATCTTTCTAATAATAACTAAGTGGCTTCTTACCTGTGAATTTTTTTGAAAATTTGCATGACATTAGAGGAAATGAAAAGAAGGATAAACCAGTATACATGACATATGCATCAGTTTATGGACTGGTGTATTATGCGCAAGATATATCTTTTGCTGCAAAGGGGTTCGAAGCACAGTTTGAGTACCTATTAACCATCTGGATGGCAGTAGACTTCTCCAGCAACCAATTCATGGGAGAAATTCCTAAAACATTTGGAGAGCTGCATTCACTAATTGTCCTAAACCTCTCTCATAACTGTTTAACAGGTCCTATCCCATCATCATTTGGTGATTTGTCAGAACTTGAATCATTAGATCTCTCATCAAACAAGCTCACTGGAAGAATTCCAATAGAGCTAAACAATCTTGGGTTCTTAGCAGTGTTGAACCTTTCTTGGAATAATCTCGTGGGAGTCATTCCTCAAGGCAAACAATTTGAACCTTTCTTGGAATAATCTCGTGGGAGTCATTCCTCAAGGCAAACAATTTGATAGTTTCACAAATGATTCCTACATAGGAAACTTGGGTTTATGCCGGCTACCATTATCAAAAAGCTGTGATAATGATGAGGGAAGTCTAGCCAAACTTGATAGAGATGATGATGATGGTGGATTGAATTGGAAATTTTCAATATTAATGTCGTATGGCTGTGGATTGGTGCTGGGACCGAGTATGGGATACGTACGTCATATTCACAACTGGAAAACCATGTGGTTCATTAGTATCTACGAGAGAGTTCAACAAAGATTTTGAAAAAGGTAAAAGAGAGAACTCTTTGACAAATTTTGCAGCAAAACAAGCACCGGACAAAGCAGAAAACTTCATATCATGGTGGTAGGCAGTACCTTTTCTATAGCTGTTTCATATATAATTTGTTTTCAATAATCTCCAGATAATTAATCCCATAACTATAATTATGGTTTATGTCTTGATTCTCTCCTGTTGTCTTGCAATTTGAAGAATTGACTACTGAATCGATCAAACGTCCCCAGAATCCCCAAATCGCCTATATTAGGAGTTAAAGTGTCCGGAGGAAAATCATGTCCGGAAACGGGGAGGACAGGACAAATTCGAGATGAATTAAGTAAAATTCATCAAAACTTGTCAAAGAACAATTTTTCTGCACTTTGTGGTGAGAGACGGAAGAAAATAAAGGTCGGTTTTGTACTATCTGCACGTAAATGATCAATATGTATTGCATCCCTTTAACTTATTTCATTTTGCTCTTGAATTGTGAATGTAAAACTCTGACTATGATATGTTATCCTATTGTCTCGGATACTATTTCCTTACGAAGAATTCCTCAATTTCTTCCGGTATGAAGTCTTTCACTTATCATGTTAATGCACTATATGCATGATTATGCATCTTACGTTAAAGATTTCAGCTGGGTTGAATAGAATTCCGGTCTTTGTTTATTTGGTTCAAGTAGTACAATGTATTAACATTCGGTCAAACGAATTGTAAAATTCTTAAAAAGTGGATAAAGTATGCTTTAATCTGAATTATCATTACTTCCTCCCTTCCTCCTCTTTTATTTCTGCTGCTATTTGCAACTTTTAAGGCTACTTTGTCTGCCAACATCCCCACTGATGAATCCTCCCTTTTGGCCTTAAAATCTCATAAAACTCATTATCCCGACAATCTCTTAGCAACCAACTGGTCCACTTCTATCTCTGTTTGCAATTGGATTGGTGTGACTTTGGATCCAGACACCACAGAATCACTGCTCTGGATTTGTCGAGAATGGATCTCACAGGCACCATCCCATCTCAATTGGGAAATTTATCTTTCCTTGCCTCCCTCAACATTCGTAGAAACAGTTTCCATGGCTCTTTACAAATTGAGTTAACCAATGTGCATCGGCTGAAGTATTTCAACTTTAGTAACAGTAGCTTCAGTGGAGAAATACCATCATGGATTGGTTACTTTGCTCAACTTAGAGGCTTGTAGATGAACAACTTCACCAGTTTTATTCCATCTACTTTGGGAAATTTGTCAATAGTTGAATTTGTTCGAAAACAATATTAAAGGTAAGATTCCTATAATGACTTCAATATTCTTCGTCATTTGATTGTTACAGTGTTGACGTGATGCTTTTATGATATTGATGTGACAAACCACCTATTATGTTGAGTTATCAGTTTAGCTCATCCGCTATGTTATCAACTATTGTAGACTGCCACAGTAATGGTTGTTAACAACCGATGATCTTTTTATTATAAGTCGATAACGTTAGTGATCATTTTGTTACAAATTGATAATATTAATGATTAGTTTGGAACTTTTAAAAGTTTAGTGAAGAAAATAAAAACTTAAACATTAATCTCATTTGTATAATTAACCCTAAAATAAACTAATACGGCATTAGTAATTATTATATTATCATTAGATATGGTTTAAAATGTCTCATGCGGAGCAGATAATTTTTTTTGAATGAAATGCGGAGCAGATAAGATTGACAATTGGGTGAGACCTGCCAGCTCAACACCCTTTATCTTAAAGTTATTTTCTTGAATTTTCTACTTAAAAAAAGCACGTGCCTAAAAATTAGTAGCAAAAAGCCAGAAAGGAAATGAATTACTTTAATATTTTTATTGCATATAAAAAATATATCTAAAAAAATATTAATGTAAACTATAACCAAATCAAAATATTTTACTAATAAACAAAATAATAAAAAATAGAAAATTAAAAAACTTGCTTAAATTCACAAAACAATCAAACTAAATATTAATATATTTAATTTATTTGATAACTCAAATTGTTTAAGCTCAAACTTGTCCGATGACATATTGGTAACTTAGGTTAGGTCATTATTTAAAATAGTATTTAACATATTAAAATAAATATTAATTTTTCACATTTTATGAAGTAGGGAGATTAAATTTGAAATTAGAAATTTAAAAAGATATTATTCTACATTTTATTAATAAATCTTTAAAATATCATTTCATTATAAAAGAAATTCATATTGTACTGATCTAGATTTTAGCATAACTTTAGGCAACAAATGAACTACATCTACAATTATCAAAATGAAATGAGCTACCCTTATTTATTTATTTATAATTTTGCAAAAATTCGACAAATTCCTGCCATAAACTCTGACGAAAACGAAAAGACCAGAGAGAATTGTCTGAAAAAAATCTGTGAAAGGACTAGAAAGCTTGTTTTTTTTTTCTAGAGTTAAATCATTCAGCTTTGGTTGGGATTTTGTTCTGCTTTTTCTGGGTGCTTTTTTGTTCCGACTTTTTTTTGTCTGTAAGAAAATTCCTCCGTTTATGTTTTTTTCTGTTCCGGACGGAACCTTCAAGATTTGCAGAGATGCAGCCGGCATCGCTGGTAATATATCCTTCGTCTTCTTCTTCTTCTTCTTTTATGAAATTGATTTATTTCCTTTAGAAACTAATTTGATTACATTTTTGTTGACATTTGGTTTGTTGGATTGAATTTAAATTGACCCATTAATATATTCTTGAAGAATAGTTGATTTGATTACTTTCTCATTATTTTTTTGATTGAGCTGAAAAAGACCCATTATTCTATTCTTGAAGATTTTTTAGGTTAAGGGATGATCAATTTGTCATTGAATCATAAAAAAAGCTTGCTTTTGTCCTTGAAAGTGCTAAAAAAAGCTTTTTTTTCTTCTTTTTTGGGTGTAAATTTTGTTTGAGAAAATTGAACAGACTTTTTGGGGTGGAAAACGAGTTGAGTTCGATTTTATATGATCTTCATCAGTGTATCAAAGTCTCATTCCATTTTCTGGGGAAATTTTATTACAATCTTACAATTCAATGTCTATATGTAGATTTGATGGAAATTGAAGAAGCACTTCAAATATTGATGTCAATGATGTGCATTGTTTCTAGCTTGTTTTTTTGGTTTGAAATGTTTTTTCTACCTTAATATCGAGTTAAAACTCGAGTCCAATGAGAATTTAGAGGTAGCTGTTCTAAATATTGGTTGCATCTGTGAACGCTTGTTGTTGTTCTACCATAGTCTCTAAGTTCTGAATGGTATTGTCGTCTTGTTTATCGATACCTTACATTCACTAATGATGTTATTGATGCAATGCTGCTTTGATTCAATAAATCTAAGTTTCTCACTCGTTCGTAATTATGAATTCCATTTGATAATTCAATGTATTCAGTTTGTTTGCTTTATATTCGAGTTCTGATGGGAAAAATCATATGAAACGACTTCAATCTGATCTTGATCCATTTTTATTTCAGGAAACATCTTTGCTTTCGGGCTGTTTGTATCGCCCATGTATGTTCTACTTTCCAAGTTTTAAGAATTTATTAATGGAATGAATAGATTGACATATCTTATCCTCTAATTAGTTCTGGTTATTGCCTTTTGTTTTAACTTTTCAGACCCACATTTCGAAGAATTATAAGAAACCAGTCCACCGAGAACTTTTCGGGATTGCCTTATATATATGCTCTCTTGAACTGCTTGATCTGTACTTGGTATGGCACACCCTTGATATCTTATGACAATGTGCTGGTTATGACGGTTAATTCAATCGGTGCAGTTTTTCAAATAACCTACATTATCATCTTCATCGTGCATGCCGATAGAGAGAAAAAGGTTATCTTTACATGCCTTTGTTGTTACAGTCTATTTCTTTCTTAAGTGCACTCTGTATTGTTCTCATGTAGCCTGGACTCTCGTGCTCTCGTACGATATGAGGAGCCTACTCTTACCATTGGTCTAGGTGTTGAATATCAAGTACTTTAAGGAAAACGAGAAGTCCGGGTAACGTAGGTGTTGTTTTCCACTGTCAGTCTTATTCTTTGTGTGGATGGCAGATTAGGATGATTGGGTTGCTACTGGCAGTTTTTGGCTTTCTGGCAATCATAGTTGCTGGAAGCTTGCAGATAGCCGACCAAGGAATTCGATGGATCTTTGTTGGGTTATTAAGTTGTGTTTCTCTCGTATCAATGTTTGCTTCCCCGTTGTTTATAATCGTAAGTTGGTTGATCAAATGCACTTGTAGTTTTTTTCTTTCTCTTACATTCGATTGTTTTTGGAAATTTTTAATGACATGATCTTTGTTCCCAGAATTTAGTAATTCAAACAAAAAGTGTTGAATTCATGCCATTCTATCTCTCCCTCTCAACATTCTTGATGAGCACCTCGTTCTTCCTATATGGCATCTTTAACTTCGACGCCTTTATTTATGTAAGCTTCCTCTAACATTAATGACGGCTTATTGTTTTCGATTTAATAGTTGTCGATCTTATGTGTTAATATTGCATCGTTGTTTTTCAGGTTCCAAATGGAATCGGAACTGTTTTGGGGATTCTGCAACTCACGTTGTACTTCTACTATAAAACAAAGTCCGTCGAAGAATCCCTAGAACCACTCATGGTGTCACATGCATAACTCTTGCTTTTTCTTCGAGTAGGTAATTACCCTCTATATTCCGTTTCTATGCTTCGATGAT